CGAAGATATATATACCACCAAGAAGCAGGGAAGAAAGGGCGCGTTTCAAGCCTGCCGGGATGAACAGGCCGCAGGCGGGGGAAGGCCGACTCCCCGGAGCGAGCGTCGGCCGAAGGGAGCCGAGCGTGCGAAGCGGAGGACCAGAACGAGCGTCACACGCCACGCCTATATCTGCATTGCACCCCGGGGCGCGACCTCGGCGGGGTGCCGCCGTAGTGAAAAGGGAGCACAGTGTCATGCCCGCTACGAGGGCCGTACATGCGCATTTCCGTTCCGTCGCTAGGGTGTCCCACCTACGAATCGCGGGGAAGACTCGCGTGAGAGGATGATGCTGCGCGCTGAAGCAGCCCGCCGCGGGTGGGAGAGAAACGAACGCGGCGAGTCGCAGCGGCTCGCTATTGCCCGCCTCTCATCTCTCCGCGGGGCTTTTATCTTCTCGTTTCCCCTCCAGTACGATCGTCGTGCTCCCTACCATCGTGCACACGCCCGTTCCCCCCGGGACGGCTTCCTCCTCTTCCTCCCTCTCTATCTATCTATCTCTCTCTCTCTCTTGTTTTATCTCGCTCGCACCCTCTGCGCAGGTTATCGCGCCCTTTTATCTGCTCTGCGCTGGGACGTACCCCCCGGCTAACGTTGTTCTTTCCTCTTGCCCTGCTTATCTCGCTCGGACGTGCTGCTCTCCGCTCGTGTGATCGCCAGTTCCTTCCTCGTCTCCCCCCCTTTGAGCTTCTCTTCTCTCCGTTGGACGCGTCTCCCTTTTTCTCTCTCCCGCCGTCGCCGCCGACATCCGTCCATCGCTTCGTCCGCCGGCGATCACGCCAAGCGCGGCGCGCTTCTTCTTCTCTCCTCTTCGTCTTCCTTCCTGCCCGCAGCCGCAGACTCACGACCACGTCCCGTCCTCCTCCTCTCCCTCCTCCACCCCTCCCACCCNCCACCCTCCCGATCCTCTTTCCTCGCCTGATCCCTCCGATTCTCCCGTCCTCGTAACCCTGCCGTCTCGTGTTCCCCTTTTCCTCCCTGCTGCCGTTTTTCTCTCTTGCGCCGACGACTCTCTTCCCTCTTCGCGCCATCCTCCTCTGCCCCCTCCTGGCCGCTTCTGCCCTCGTCATCCCCGCTTCCTCCACGCTCGGATACACCCACGCACCACGCAGGAGAAACAAAGATGGCGGTCGGTTAGTATGTTTCGAGAGTCGTAGCTCTGACAACCTTGGGTGCAGCCATCCGTGACCCGGCGCGGAGCAACCCTTCGCCCGCGGCTGTGACTCCACGGAGAGTTGACGCACGAGCACCCGTCTCTCCCCTGGCCGTTTCCTCTGTCTACCCTCTTTCTTCCGCTTATCCCGTTTTCCGTCGGTTCCACTGGCGGAACAGATGCGCCGATCCAGCCGCGCGTCCCTTCCACGGCGATCGGTGGCGCGAATGGTGGTGCTTGTCGAGCGTCACGCCCGGGAAATTTTATAATTTCTCGAAAAGAACACTATCTAAGGTGGTTTTCATATTTTCGCCGCAACGATTCAGAGAGATACAGATTGACGGAGGTGTAAATTAAAGTAGTTGAATCGACCGTAGTTGAAATCTAATGTTATCTTTGTATCATCTTCAGATTCTCGTACACGCACAGAGAAAAAATCTTAAATCAACGGTGGATATTCCTTACACATATAAGCGGGAATATTATAATATTCTTCGACGTTTCGCCTCGAATCGAGCACCGGTAATATCTGCGTCGGATTCAACTAAAATCGAGGCTAAAAGTTTACGAAGATTACAATATTCTTGCTTATGTACGAAAATATCTACTCTCGATTCAAGATTAATTTTTCCTCCATATAGCTGCCGTCTACTTGTCGCGTAATTCCACGGTCCTACGGTTAATCGTTAACATGTGACATTTACGTTTCATCCATACACGCAATATTATTTGGTACTTTTTATTATTACGCAACCGCATCCGAGATACGCGCGAGAGAGCGGAGGCTACAAACACCCGCATACCTCCGTTAGAAGGTCGGCGGATTCAAAGGCAAATATTCATCGTTTCGAGCTGACGCTTCTCGAGCGACAGCAGAAGCGGTCCTGCGGAAAGCGGCTGCTCGACGACGCGCGTGTACGCACCGATGCGGGCGGTACGTGCGCGCCGCACACACACGCACGAGAGCCGATACATGCGCAAGACTCTCCGAAAAAAATCTGCGTCGCGGCTCATTAATCGGTACGATCGACCGAGGGTGGACGGTTTTACATGCCGCGAAGGATGTCACGCAAAGTGCTCTCTCGTATACGTGGCCCAACCGAGTGTTTCCGCATGTACCTAGACGGGGTTGTCATACCTACCTACCTACCTACCTACGACCACAGATATAGATCGCTTTCGTAATAACGCCTGTACAAATCCTAGATCGACCTTACCGCCGTCGGCGGGGCAGGGGCGTGAGAGTGATGAAAGGTGCGGTTGGCGAACGTCTACTAATCTTCAGCCGCGAGCGGAGATCGATCGTGCATCATCGCGCGCGTCGTCGTCGTGCGGCTTTTTCGTCAAGATGATTCGCGAAGAAAGAGACCACTCTCAACCGATGATCTCATTCGTGATCGTATCTTGAGAACGGAGATTGGAATCTCCGTCGGTCGAGGCGCGTCCGAGTTTCTCTTTACTATCATCAGCGAATACGGAAACAATAAAGCGTACGGCGAAAGAAATCAAATATCAAGAACGATGCACGAGCCGCAAGTAATCACCAACGATGTAATCACGAACGATAGGCGAATCGACGATTCTGCAAATTGTTTCAGCTCTTTCCAAGCTTTGTGTTAAAATTTATACGATCGATCCGTCAAGCGTATCTCTCATTCTCTTTTATACATAATTATTTAAATGTACTTCAAATGTAACATATGTGTAACATAAATATGATTGATTTTGCATTGTATTCAATTTATGCGATTTTTCGGATGAGATTGCCGAAAAGATCCATTTGAAAGTCAATAAACGTGCCGGACTTATTAGTCAATATAAACATCGCTAATTAATCTGTCTCGCTTCCGAAGGGCGTCCTTAGGCGAGGGTGAAAAAGGGAGCGGTTGACTTTCTACACCACGCCCTAATTCGGGTTTCATGGAGCCGTATAATCATCCCTGCGCCCTCACAGGGGGGGTTGAGAGAACAAAATTCTTTCTGGTATCCGCGCGTGTGAGTCGAAAATCATCGCATCGTAATTCGAAAATAATCTCCCGTATATTCTCGCCGAGAATACTTCGACAAACACGGGGAAACGAAATCTTCGCTCATTTACTCAACAAATTCCTTGTGACGAGCTTGTGAGGAGCTGTCAATAAAGATTATTTCTCCTTATCTATGCTCAATTATACTTTGCATTTTTAAATATGTTACAATTCGTCATTTCTGTTATGAAAATATTTGCATGAAATGAAAATGAATTATTCACGAGAGGGCCGACGCGTTTATTTTCGTTTGAATCACAGAAATCCTCCTCGATTTAAATGAAAACTTTGCTGCATCTTTGCAGCAGAGAGAAAGAAAGAGAGAGAGAGAGAGAGAGAGATAGAGAGAGAGAGAGAGAGAGAGAGAGAGAAGACAAAGAAAGCTATATGTACCTCCTCGATTTATGAAAGTTTGTCGTACAAAGATATAAATGTGTAAAATCGAGATATATTTTATATCTGTGCACGCTGTGCGCTCGCATTATAATTTACTAATCGGAGAAAATTCTGTCTCCTTTTCGCTCTATCCCTTTGACAATGTTTGCATATAGATCCGGAATCTTCCGAAAAGTGTCTCGTAGGCATTGATCGTGCCTCAGAATAATAGATGGTCCTTATCGGCTTAGAAATCTCCCGTCGTTATAAAGATCGGAATTTTGACACGTCATCGTTGTGACGCGTATATCCGACACAACCGACCTCTGACATTTCTCAACTACCCCCCGTCTGTCATTACCGCGAAGAACATTGACGAGCCGCCGCTTTGCGTTCATCACGATCGATCGCAAAATCCTTCTCGGGAAAGAGAAGATTCTCGCGTATCGCTTGTATTTATATATATAAGTCCACTTTTCAGATGATATTTCAGATAATTTTCCCGCGCAAATAAAAACTAATCAGAGCCGCGGTATTTCTTCTTCAGCGTCGATGCATCGAGTGCAGATCCGAGATACGAAATGACGCGATCGCTGTTAGGAAGACTGTCGCTGGATTAAACGACCCCGGATATCGCACGCGCTTATCGACTTTGTCTAACGCGATGCGTGAGAAGAAACCCGGCGAATTCGATTGACTGGAAATCCGATCCCGACGAATGCGACCGCCCACGCGAATATAAATAAATAAATAAATATATATATATAGAAAATTGCGTAATTAATATACAATTGATATAATCTCGTTATCTCGGCGAGACCCGTTTACGAATTCTCTCCCTCGGCTCGCTCTCGAGATCGGCCATGAAGAAGACGCGCGAGTGTGCCGGCTAAGTATTATAAAATTTCACCTGACGAAAGAGCACACAAATGCACACGTGTATCTTTATGTGTGCGTGTGTATATGTGTGTGCTTGTACGTATGTGTGCGATACGCCAATCTTGGTGCGAGGTCGGCTCTCGAAAAAACACTCGCGGGGAATGGCAGACGAGAAAGAGGAACGGGCACTCCTCGTGCGGAAGGAGACCGAAAGAGAGAAATGGGGAAAAACGGGGCGAAATCGAAAAGGAAGAAAAAAAAAGAGACGACCGGAGAGATAAAGGGGAGAGTAAAAAGTGCACGAGTAAAAAAAAAAAAAGAAACTAAATGCGACCGATAATTGCGCTCGGCTTCACCGTCCTTTCCTTGCGGTTTTTTCAATCCTTATCGCGAGCCCATCATATCTGAGCGAAAAAAAAAAAAAAACACGGAGAAAAATCCTCGAAGGAGCGGACATCTCATAACGTCGGCACTGTTTCCTTCGCGACACGTCTCTCTCACGGCGAGGTGATAGCGGACACACTTACCTTTCTTCGCGTAATCCATGGTTCCCCGATGTCAACGATCCCACCACCACACTGGCAGACTATCGAGCCTCGGCGAGCTGGATCCTGGACCTGGCGAGAGTTCACACCGCGCGTCCCGAACGGGACGCAAACTCCACCACTCGAACAACAGATCACAATTCCACACTAGTCCATCGGCGCTCGGCTATCTCTATCTCTCTCTCCCTCTCTGTCTGTCTCGCGCGCGCGCGCGCGCGCTGCCGACGCACCGCGTGCACTTTGATCCCGGGTTGTGACCCGGGATCCTGGAGGATGGAGATCCGGAGGACGCGATGATAAGTTTTTCTCCGTCGGAATTCCCCCCGCGGATCTGCCTGCTCGCTATTGCTCCGACGCGACTCCACCGGGTCGTTCGTCGCGAATACGCATCGCGTATCACCAGGGGGAAAAAAGTGTCGAGCGTGAGACGACGATGACGACGACTCCTCCGGACGACTGTTCTCTTCACGCTGACGAACACGACTGACTGTCACGACGATCGATCGCGCTTTGTACTATCTCTCTCTCTCTCTCCCTCGGTTTCTCTCTCCTTTTCTCGCACTCGTGAGCGACGTACCGCGACGTCTTCACCGCTCTGCATCCAGCAAGAGACTGAGCACCGCGGCTGACTTGGACTCCGGCTACGGAAGTGATCGTGAAACGAGAGGAACCGAACGCTGAGGCTCAGGAGTGGGGGACCAGACGTAGGCAGGGTAGGAGCGAAAGGGGTGGGCGAGAGGGATGCGATCGGCTGTTTTGCATGGGCGGGAGCGGGGAGGCGAGAGAGAGAGAGAAGAAGCCCGAGGGGCGGGAGGGGAAACGAGGCGCGACGGGAGGAAAGAGACCTCTCGGGGTCCATGAGAACGGGTCACGACAGGCCGGCTCACCGCGCAGAAGTGAGACGCCGCTTCTGATTCCTCTCAACCTGCGCCGGGACTCATCATCCCTTCCTTCCCATTGGTCCGACCCCTCGCCCCGCGCTCGTCCCGGTCTATCTAACTCTCTCTCTCTCTCTCTCTCGTCCTCCCGCGCGCGCTCTCTGGACTCTCTTGCGGTCACCCCCACCACTACTGCCAGCGGACGGAGAGTCCCCCCGCCCGCAACCCTGCGGCGGACCGCGCGCTCGCTAGCCTGACTTCTGCTGGATACTTGTACGTGGGTACATGTGCCATGGGCGTCCGGATGGAATATTCTTCACGGTTGCGAGAAAGGGTGAGAGAGAGAGAGAGAGGGAGGGGGGGAAGGAGACGACGTTTCTTCACGGGTTTCTTAGGTCCCAACGAGAAATTCGCGGCCGGTTCTGACATTTTTCGAGAGGTATCCTGATCGTATTTTCCGTGCAGATGTGAAATTTCAGACGGAGGGTCTCGAGATTTCACTCCGAGGAATTCGAGAGAGGAGACGGGATTTCCTCGAGATAAATGGACCCCGTTGAAAATTTCCGAATGGATTTCCACGGGAAGCCAAGAGAACTCGCGCGAATCCGTATAACATATTCAAAATCCGCGCAGGAGTCCGTAAGAACTGTTACCTGGGATCTGGGCTTTTTATCCAAATCCACGGGAGGTCCGTGGAATTCCGCGTGGATTTTTCCCACACGAGTTCCTACCTTGCCCTTTTTTTTTTTTTCAACAGGGAAGTAATAGTTTGTCTTAACTACTTCGCATAGCTGTGAAGCGATTCACGGGTGAGTTCGGTGAATCCACGTCGATTAGAGCGGAGAGAACCACGATGGGATATTTCGCGTACGCCCGACGAAGGTAGGATCGATCGATCGATGCTCTGTGAAAATTAGATCGCGCACCGAGATACCCTCTCGGGCCCTCGTGTTCTTCCTTACTTCTTACGTTTCATTCGCGCTTCCGTAATTATAAGACGCGATTCACGATGTCGAAGCCGCCACAATGATCTTCAAGGAAACGATCTTCATTTACGCGCACGTAGCATCCCGCGCATGTTTATTATTATTATCACCGCGGAAAACATTCGTCCTCTTCGTCTTCCTTCGCGGCCCCCCTTTGCGGACGCCTATGGACTAAGTACGTGTTTTCCAGCGGAGGAAACCTTCGCCCTTCCCGCCGCCGCTTCCTCTCGCTCGCTCTATCGCGTATCTCTCTCTCTCCTCCTGCCTTTCCCCCATCATCGCTCTTCGCTGTCTCTCTGGTCCCCCTCCTGGCCCTCCCTCTTTCTCCCGCTATCGCTCTCTTCGTCCGGCGCGTTCCACGGAGATCGTCTGGACGTGTGCGTCTCTTTGTCTGACGCGCATCCAATCCCCACCATCCACGGGGTCTGTACCTATGCCGCTAAGCCATCATCATCGGCCACCGGTGTGTATGTACCACACACACATACATACATCGACGACTGGAATCGACTCGAGCCTAGTCGAGTCGGCGCCTGACGCATCTGCCACCCACACCAACGAGAGACCACCCCCCTCGATGGATCGCGCGCTGCATTGTCATCCACGTCCGACGACGACGCGAGCTACCCCGGACGAGCCCGCTTCGATCCATCGATCTCCCACCTGATTCAGTCTCCCTATCTCCAAATCGGTTCACCCCCCCCCCCCCCCCCCCC